GTGTCTGTGTGTGTGCGTGTCTGTGTGTGTGCGTGTCTGTGTGTGTGCGTGTGTGTGTGTGTGTGTGCGTGAGTGTCTGTGTGTGTGCGTGAGTGTCTGTGTGTGTGCGTGAGTGTCTGTGTGTGTGCGTGAGTGTCTGTGAGTGTGCGTGTGTGAGTGTGCGTGTGCGTGTGCGTCTGTGTCTGTGTGTGAGTGTGCGTGAGTGTCTGTGTGTGAGTGTGCGTGAGTGTCTGTGTGTGAGTGTGAGTGTGTCTGTGCGTGTGTGCGTGTGTCTGTGCGTGTGTGCGAGTGTGCGTGTGTCAAGCAGTTATGCATTTTTTTTCCTTCTACAGGGCCATCTATTAATTTTTGTGTGTATAAAATTGGCAGGGATATTAGCCGGTTACAGCATATGCTCAGAGCTCATTGTCTGTCAATAGCCTGTAATTTTTCAGTTAGCTCTCATTAGAAAGCAAGGCTGTTGAAATCCCAACCTATGTATTTAGCCCCTGTGTTGTCCATGTGTATAAGTCTGTCTGTGGGTGTGCGTGTGTGTCTGTGTGTGTGTGTGTGTGTGTGTGTGTGTGTGTGTGTGTGCGTGTGTGAGTGTCTGTGTGCGTGTGTGAGTGTCTGTGTGCGTGTGTGAGTGTCTGTGTGTGTGTGAGTGTCTGTGAGTGTGTGTGAGTGTCTGTGAGTGTGTGCGAGTGTGTCTGTGAGTGTGTGCGAGTGTGTCTGTGCGTGTGTGCGAGTGTCTGTGTGTGTGCGAGTGTCTGTGAGTGTGTGTGTGTCTGTGAGTGTGTGTGTGTGAGTGCGTGTGTGTGAGTGAGCGAATGTGAGTGTCTGAGTGTGAGTGTGTGTGCGAGTGAGTGTGTGCGAGTGAGTGTGTGCGAGTGAGTGTGTGCGTGTGTGTGTGAGTGTCTGTGTGTGTGAGTGTCTGTGTGTGTGAGTGTCTGTGTGTGTGAGTGTCTGTGTGTGTGAGTGTCTGTGTGTGTGAGTGTCTGTGTGTGTGAGTGTCTGTGTGTGCGAGTGTGCGAGTGTGTGCGAGCGTGTGCGTGCGTGTGTGCGAGCGTGTGCGTGCGTGTGTGCGAGTGTGTGTGTGTGTGAGTGCGTGTGCGAGTGAGCGAGTGTGTGTGCGTGAGTGTCTGAGTGTCTGAGTGAGTGTGCGTGTGTGTGAGTGTGTCTGTGTGTGTGAGTGTCTGTGTGTGTGAGTGTCTGTGTGTGTGAGTGTCTGTGTGTGTGAGTGTCTGTG